CTGTCGGTTTGTCCTTAATAAGCCTCCTACATCATTAAAACGACACAGATACTTACCATAAGAGGATAATTAGCACTACTGAAACACTTTTTAAACCAATCCTAGTTCTTCAACTATGAAATGGAGAAAATTAAATCTATTTCCTTCATAGTTTTATTGTAGGAATTAAAATAATTTGAGTAAAGTGGTTAGTAGTGTGCAGGCAAAGTTAGTGCTCAATAAACTATTCACAAGTAGTATTCACAAGTAGTAGTCATGGTGGTATAATTTGGGAAGGTGTGGCATTTTAAGCAAACTATTGGTTTTTTTTTTCTGAAGACAAGCTACACTTGTTTTTATATATTTTTTCACTTTCTTGTTAAATAGCTGGAAGAAAACTCTATATCACAGGATAGGAATATATTTGTTAATTCAGAGAAAAAAGTGTGAAATAACAAATAATAATTATATTTGTTTGATTTGTTCACTGATATATCCCTAGCTCTTAGAAGAATACTGAAAACATAGGAGGCCCTCAACAAATATTTTTAGATAAATACATGTGTATATAGGTATTATTTTCTGATGAAAAAAGTCAAATACATGAGAATTTAAGAAAATTTAAGTATAAAATTGTATTTTACAATTTTGTAAATGTTGCTACCATAACTAAGTAATTAAAATGTCTCCCTAATGTCTGTCCAAATGTGGTGATGTTAGAAGTAACTGATTCGAGCTAAAATAATCCATGTTCTAAAATCATTTGTATATGTACATTAGAGTCAGTGATTTGTAAAGTCATTTATAAAGGCATATTGAGCCTTTCTATGCTTCAAAGATTGGGCAGGCAGGGCCACTTGTTGCACAGCTTCCAGGATGTGATTTACATTGTAGTTGAAATAAGTGGTTCCTCCTGGTGTGTGCAGTTCAGGCCAGAGTAGGCCTGCCTAGTAACCCTGGTGACAGAAGCCAGGTTACAGAGATGGGTAAGATCCGATTGCTGTCATCAACATTGCTAATGGAGTACAGATTGTTTAAGTCAGTGCATTGGACGGAGGTCTGGACAGGGTGCAGTGGGAGTTCAGATCCAGAGAAATACGTGGCATTTCTACTTAGGAAGATGCCAATAATAAGTTGTTAAAAATCACATAAGCGCCAAAATTCATCACTACTTTGTTGGGTCTAGCTAGTCTTCTGCTTATGCTATTGAACATTTTCCGAAAAAGTAAACCTGCCAGGTCAGCTTGTTTTGTAAAGCCAATCATTCTAGCATAATTAACTTTATCTTGGAATTTAATATAAAACTTTTAATACTCACATCAAGATCATCCTTTGCATTGTAGTAGACAACTTCATTGCTCTATAAAAAAAGAAAAGAAGAGTGCTTTATTGATTTGAGTAAAAACATAAAAATACACTGGAGCAACCACTGAATAAGTTTTTTGCATATTTTAAAAAATAAACCCCTCATAATATTCCTTTCACAATATATTCCACAAAGATCCACAAAGATTTTCTAAGAACATATTAAAACACTTTATCAGTGATACTGAAAAATACATCCTGCATTGAGGAAAAAAGATCACAGTATAGGTCTGAGAACCATTTGTCAGGAAAGAATCAAGTATTCCTAACGCAAATTAAGTTATATACATACACACACACATACCCAAACATGCACGTACACACACACCAACACATAGACATATATGTATAGCTAAATCATAAAATGATAAACAGGATAATTCAAGAAAAATGTAAGATAAGCAGCTTGTTAATATTTTGCTGAAACTATGACTTTAAAAAAATATATATCGAGTGTTGAAATTATTCTTGAAGAAAGGTGTTTCTGTGCAATATTGGCAGAAATTTCTTCATGCGATTCAGACAAGGGATCAAGAGTAACCATGAATTTAGATAGTAAAAAATATCAGATTATCTAATACACTATTATGCTCATATTCTACTAAAGTGATGAATGAGCACTGGCTCCTCAAGAATAAATGTATATGGACATTTCTGCTAGTCACCAAGGTTGCTGAAATATGCCATAAATATAAATTATGGACATAAATTGTGTTATAGAGGGAAAATGGAAAGAAGGAATAAAATGATTGCCAAGTGATTTAAAATTCCTATTCTTCATGTCTTCGAGACCTGTTCCATACAATGTTAAAATAATCCACTTATACTGATTTCCTTTTCCTTTCTTCTCCTCCCGAACTGATTGAAGATATAGCCCATCTTCCATATGTCTTCAGTATTAACTAGAGCAATATGTAAAAATCCATTTTTCTGTGCCTCTTTAACATCTAAAACATGGATACTCTAAAATTTTATTGAAAGAAAACACAATACACAAAAATTTTTGAAAATTACTGGGGAAAAAATTCAACATATTAGTGCTTCTTGAAGTGTGTTCCAAAAAAAAAAAAATCACTATTTCTTCAAAACATTCTATGGTCATACTACTTTAGAATAAACAATAAAGTTAAAATTGTCTCTTTTCGGCTTCACGGAGCCTCAGTGTATGAATATACATTATAAATCTCCAAGAGGAAAATAGATCTTGTTTTGTTTCCCAAACTATTTGCCACAGAACCTGCCTCCCTTTTTTGATTTGAAAAACATACCATGAGACTGAAGATCTATAAAAATAGGTCCCTCTGAAGACCAAACAAACCAAAACCTACATAGATAAGTAACAGAACATATGATTCATAATATTGAATAAAATTTGAATTGATTCAAAATATTGAATATTAAATTTATTTCATTTAGAGTCAACAGAACTTTAAAAAATACCATTTAGTGAAAGAATTATTAAGTAGCTAAAGAATTTTAACATGCATAAAAGTTCTAATTCCTGAAATAATTCTTATAGCACAAGTTTTGTAACAAAGTTACAATACAAAATCAGAACTCATCACATACACAAAGCAAGGGAATCTTCTGAATCCACCTGAGACCTAAATCTAATTACTAGTTTATTGATCCCTATTGCAACTCTGTAATTTATACTTAGGAGACAATATTCAATTTAGAATGTAGATTCCATCAAAAGTTAAAACACTGAATAAGTTCATCTTCGTTTTGGACTTTATTTCTCCCAACTACTTGCTTATATTTACAGAATTGAAATGTGTAGAAAACAAGTTGAAACTGCATTAAATTTCAAGTGGTTCAGCATCGTCATTTTCAACATTCTCTAAAGACCTATATGCACATATTGCTGTGCCAAGAGAGACACAAAATATGTTAAACATATCTATCCCTATCCTTTAGATAAGAAGATGAATATAGACAAATCACATAAAATAACTTACATGTCTAGGATTACACTTTGCCCATGGTACTAGAGCTAATGGACTAAATTAATTAGTTAACTTTTTTTTTATGTGTGACACATGGTCACATATAACGAATAAAGAGTATTTGTTTGTTAAACCTATGATTACGAGTATCATATACAGTTTCAAAAAAGGCTAAAGTATGATAAAGAAATGCTAGCTTTAACTCAAACTAAGTATTTTGATTCTATTAATATAAATTGTGCTTGAAATTAAAATAAAAATAAAAAGGAAGAAAATCTAAGTTTGAGAATTTCTAAAAGTTTTTCCTTTTGCTACTGTACTATATTTTGTACAAAACTTTATTACCTCTTCTTTTAGATATCCTATATTGCTCTTAAAACTTATTGAAAATGTGTACTGCAAAGTTTTTTAAAATTTTATGCATTTGCACAAGGCTTTCTGGAATTTGGAAGACACAGAATTCCAAAAACTGCTTTTTTTTTTTAAAGTAAACTGAAAAAAAGTACATTAGTCATAAAATAATAATGCATGTCAAACATCCATAATCCTCGTAACTAGGTACTTTGTATTTCTCCTTTTTTTTTTTTTTTGTAAGGAAGATTAGCCCTGAACTAACATCTTTGCCAATCTTCCCCTGTTTTGTATGCAGGTCGCCACCACAGCATGGCTTGATGAGCCACGTGTAGGTCTGCACCTGGGATCTGAACCCATGAACCTGGGCTGCCGAAGCAGAGTGCATCAAACTTAACCACTATGCCACCAGACCGGCCTCTATTTCTACTTTTAAAAAGCTCTTTATACAATGTTTATTTCTTCCAAGGTCAAAATATAAATGCAAAGAAAAACAAAAGTGTAACTTTTGATAGAACAACAAAACTATAAAAGACCTCAATGGAGTATATGTTCATAGGTTGTCAAGTTGTAATAAGAAAACACAGATCTTACTGGAACGTGCAACTGATTACATCCACTGCCTTATAACACAATTTCTTCTTCACCAATAAATGAGACATTGCTTTTGGCTTAGAAGCATTTTTTCCCCCATTTTCTATCAATATATTTTCCTTTCTCAAACTCCAAACTTTGCATTGATGGCATGCACATTTCATTATTCCCTTATTTAACCTAACAGAAAAGCTCAATTAATCAATTTTAGTAAGGATAAATCTATGCAGAGCATCAGGATTTGGGAAAATGGTAACTGCGCATGTAATCTGTCAACTCAGTCCACATACATGGCAGTATGACACTAAAATAAATGGCAAACATTCATAGAGCATTTAATTTATATAGCCTTATAAAAATGTTTCCAGTCTTAGTTCATCATACTTTCTTACAGAAAATTGCAATGATTTGCTTCCCTGTGGCTTGTGTTTAAATAGTTTCAGAATTATTTGGCTCAGAAATAATTTAAAAGTATGATTGAGAAAAATCACAATTTGGTGAAGTCATAATTCTCTTTCCTATTGCATTCATTTATAGTTATCTCCACTATGTAAAAATATATATTAGCTCTGCTATATAAAAATGTATAAGATGTGTGCAGCTATGTTAAACTAAATCAGTCTGAAATCAAATGACTCAAATCACTTAGCTACCAAAATATATCCAGAACCAATCTTAACAGGATTGGGATAAAGGACAATTCTCAGACATAAAAGACAAATCACACTGAATCAGCCCAACTTCTGTGTTCCGATGTTTTTATAGGGAGGAAGTTTGCTTAAAATTAACTCTGTGCTAAAAGGAAATTAGGAGAGAAAATTGTACAAAAACAGTTAAATGCCTGAGGGGGTGAAATTAAAGGAGAAAACTCAAAAGCATCATCTAAATTCCTTTTCCCTTTACCCTGTCCCCTGCCTCCATCCCACTTAGACTTTGTACAGGGAGATTTTCGGGTCTCACAACCAACAGAGGGAGCCACAACTCACTAATTCAACAATACTTGGGCAACCTTACTCTGCTAAGTGTTGGAGAAACAAAGATGATGACTGTCTACACCCTGACCTTCATAAAAAGCAAGTTCTCACCCTCCCAACTCACACGGGGTCAGAAGTTAAGGCAGCTGAGCCAGTCGCTCTGACCTGCTAGAACTGAAGAATATCTCTTATTATCCTTGGACGGCATGAACACATAAAACCAAAACTTTCCCAGGTTTCAAAACAGGTGAGAGTTAAGATTTCAGATAGTTGAGACATTCCTCCTCTGTTGATCAATTCAAGCATGTCTGTTTACCAGTGTGTGTGTGTGTGTGTGTGTGTGTTTCTTTCTGAACCATTTACCTATCCTATCACTCAAAATTCCCTCAGTCCCTCCTCCAGGAAGTATATAGTTATACCACTATCATTTAAAACTTTAAAACTATGGCATATAAACTAATTGTCACAGGCACAGATTAGAGAATTGAGTCTTCTTGTTTCTGTATTATCCTTCTCCCTAAATGTTTTTATGCAAATTATTAAACAACATCATCTTGGAGGGTATTTCACACTCAAGCACTGAGGCTTTCAGTGGATTTCAGTGCATTATGTGTAGTATGATAGGATAAACTCAGCAACAGCCTCAAACTAGATTCACAGATTAGTTAAACCTTTAGAGAGCAATTTTTCACAATTTAAGCACCACCAGATGACAAGAGCAAATTGTTTTGTTTCTGATTTTTGACCAAGTAGTTTAGTTATTTATTATCTCCTTGAAACAAATTTACCCAAATGGTCCATGCTAATATAATACTGCTGCTTTACTGAAATTTAAAACATCCTCCAGAAAGTTGAGAGATAAATTACTTCAGTTTCCCAGTGTCTACTGGGAGTCAACATATAAATCTGGACAAAATAGACCATTCCATCTTAAAAATGTATATTGGGAGTGACAGTCCCTTGCATGCCACTTTCCTATAAAAGTCGGCCTCTGATGAATAGTCTATGTTAAAAATCTCAAGCTAAGTACAAAGCTTCCACATGGAAGTAAGAAGTTGCCGAGGGTAAGATTTAAATATTGGAACTGAAAATTAGGATTTTATAGCCAACATCTGAAATATATGACA